GTCACTGGACTTAGGGTCTGCTCTAAATCCAGAATGATCCCCTCTCAAGATCCTTAATCACATCTGCAAAGCCCCTTTTTCTAAGCAATGTCACATTCACCTGTTCTGGGAGTTAGGACTCAGATATACCTTTTTCGGGGCCACTATTCAACCCACGACAGGTGGAATGCCATCCTGCTTTTAGTAGTGACATCTTGAAGTGAGATCCTGCTTGTGCCATATGCAGAAAAAAAATTCTGCTTTTCATATTCTCTCGTTTGGGGTGTTGGGTCAAAGCGCAGGATTAAATTGGACAACTCCAAAGTACTTCATTTTCTTCTGAAGCTAACCGTGTGCCAACTACACTCTCGAACACCTATGGGGCGCCTGCTATGTGTCAGATGGCGCTCTAGGCGCTGAGACACAGCAGGGAACAAAAACAGACAAAAGCCCCGCCTTCATGGAGCAGACATCCTAGTGGGAAAGGCAGATAATAAATAAAATAAATGGATAGAAATATTTAGTGTGTTTAATGTAATAGATACTGTGGAGAAAAATAAAACAGTAAAGGAAAGAGGAGAGAGAGAGAGGCTTTAAACAGGTGTCCGGGGACAGTGTCATCCTCAGGGGACCCTTAAGTAAAGACCTGAAGGAGGTGAGGGGGGAAAGCCACGGAGACATCTGGAAGGACTGTCTCAAGTAGGGGCCCTGAGAGGCAAGTGTGTCTGGGATATTCCGGACCACAAGCCACCCGGAAGCCAGGGGGCTCTAGGAGGAGGGAAGTGGGGAGCATAGGTGAGACCTAGAGGTAAAGGGGATAGGGGGAGATCAGGGATGGTCTTGAAGCCATTCTTACAGCCCTGGCTTGACGGAGGAAGCACCTGGAAATGGTCCCAGCGTCCAGACTTCCGTTATCACATGGTTAAGCTGTGGAGGTCCTCAGTCACGGAGAGAAGCTTAATTATGAAATATCTACGGTTTCCCCCTTTTTCACACCTTGAATACACATTTCATGTTAATTTTTTTTTTCAAAATCAAACTCAAGCCTTAAAACAATTATTCAAAATCAAACATATAGTCAATCTAGCAATTCAGCTTCTGAGTATATACCCAAGAGAACTGAAAGCAGGAACTCATATGAATGCTGTTCACAGAGGAAGCAAGCTTAGCATCCTTCATCAGATGACTACATAAACAAAATGTGGTCTCTATATAGAACGGAATATTATTCAGCCTTGAAAAAGGAGATTCTGGCACTTGCTACAACATGAACGAACCTTGAGGACATTGTGTTAAGTGAAATAAGCCAGTCAGAAAAGGACAAATATTGTATGATTCCAGTTATATGAGGTCCCTAGAATAATAAAACTCATAGAACAGAAAGCAGATTGGAAGTTACCAGGGGCAGAAGGAAGGAGAAATGAGAATTAGTGTTTGATGGGTAGAAAGTGTCAGTTTTGGATGAGGAAAAGTCCTGGAGATGGATGGTGGTGATGGCTGCTCAACGACATAAATGTACTTAATGTCATTGAACCTTGTACTTAAAAATACTTTAAAATAGTTAAAACAGTAAATTTTCTGTTATTTGTATCTTACGACAGTTTTCAAAATTCAAAATTAATTAATTTTTAAAAACCAGAACACCAGATCTATCTTATTCCCATGGATCAAATATACTTTTTTTTTTTTGTCTCTAAAAAATCTTTTAGAAAATAACAATATCAACAGCGAGAACACATCTTGTCATTTCCAAATCAGCATTCAGAGCTGCAGAGCACTCGATAACAGGAAGTAGAGGCTGCCTAAACAGAAGGAAAGGAAATAGTCTTTCCCTGCTTGTCTTCAACACTGTTTATGTAAAAATATTCCACCCTCTTAGATGTTCTGACTTTTGGAATCCTTCTCCTAGGCAAGCCGGAAACCGAGAGAGTTAACATCTTTACTCTTTGTTTCTAGGCAATGACTGAAAGTCAGCATATGAAAAAGAATTTTTAATTAAAGAGAGCAGAGCAAGAAATAGAATCTCAATTTTATCTATTTCCCACATCACTTGCCTTCCAGGCAGGAATTCACACACCTGAAGTTATGCGATTTTTCCAAGTTTATAATCCGTGGGCCTAATTAAGTTTCATAAGATTTCTTTACCCTTCGCCAAATTACTTCCTCTCACGAGGATCTTCCCTGGACCTCGAAAAGTTTAATAAGTAATTACAACATATGATAACACAAAAATCCTTTGAATTCCCAACTATCTCAATAGCGGTTTCTTTTACTGTATTTTCATTCTTCTAACTGCAGAAAGAAATTTTAAAAAAAACTCACTACTTTTATTCTATATTATCGATGAATTTATTTTTCATTAAATACATTGTCATCAAAAACATGCATAATTATTGATTTTCATTATGCTTTGTGGAGTATCTATATAAATTACTTGGAATTCTTCTGTTAAGGAGACTTAAGTCTTCTCCCCATTTATTCGGTTTTCCATATTTGTTGATATCAGTATGAGCTCACTGATATTTATTATATACTTTGGTGTTGGTTATAATCCCATACTAGTTTATTTTGTTGCTTATGTTGTCCCGCATTTGGTCATCGCATTTGGTCATCGTGGCCTTACATGTACTTGGCAGGAAAAAAAAAATACTGTGTCAGGTCCTTCCCTCTTTAAATTTATTTTTGGTGGCATCCAGTTTCCAAAGCCCATGTCTCCCACGGTGACTTCAGTGCTGGCTTTCTAAACAGATGGGGACTTTACATCAGTTATTTAAGCTCTCTGAACCCCAGTTTCTTATTTTGTAAAATGAAGATAATGCCTATTCGCAGGGTTGGGGTGAGGATTAAATGGATAATTTATAATATTACTATGTGCTTCACAAAAGGACAGATGGTTCCAGGTATATGAGGTACCTGGAATAGTCAAATCCAGAGAGACAGAAGGTAGGATGGTGGTTCCCAGGGGCCGAGCGAAGGGGGAAATGAGGAGTTAGTGTTTAACGGGTACAGAGTTTCAAAACTTCTGGAAATGGATGGTGGCGATGGTTGCAAAACAATGTAAGTACACTTAATGTCACTGAATTGTATTTGAAAATTATTAAAATGGTAAATCTTATGTATATTTTACAATAAAAAAAGTAACAACGTATGCTTATTGTTGAAAATTTAGAAAATATTTTTTAATTGTTTTAAATCCTTAGTAATCCTAGTACTTAGTGGCCACTTCTGTTTTGTAGCCTCTGTACACAGTTTTGATCTTAGTCACGATTTTGTTCTTTTTAACATATCGTGTATATTTTCCCATGCTGTTCAAAACTCAGTAAACATTTTAATTAGCCGCGTGATATGACTCCCTCATTAATTTAACCACTGCTATATATTAGACACATTTTTCAACATTATAAATAACACTTCGATGAACACCTCTCTGATTAAATCCATCTTATTCTCATTTCGAAATACATCTTTAGTATAGACAGGGAAGAAGGATGACTAGGCCAAGAGGCGACCATTTTTAAGGCACGTGATTTAAGTTGTCAGTCCTTCTCAGAAAGGTATACGGATTACACTATCACCAGCTACCTGGAAGACACTCATTTTTAGGCACCCATAGGCAGTTACACTCTTCTGTTATAAAATCTTTTCTACCTTGGTAGATTAAATATGGTATCTCATTGTCGCAATGTTGCCTCTTAACGTTCCTTGCTTTTCTCCATCCCTCGCTTTTCTCCATCCCTCCATTATATTTGGTGTCTTTTTAAATCACTTGTACACAATTTTATATAGAAAGGTTATTTATTCATTCCCCACCTTGTTTGCTTTAATTAGGTTTAATTGTCAAAATCTGTCGCTTTTAAAGAAAGAAGTGGAAACATTTTTATTTCTGAAGTTCTTTGATTATTATTTTTTTAATCTATGAATTTAAATTACATCAAGTGGGCTCCAGTTCTGGAACGCAGACTCTGTGGGGCACTGAGCGTCCTATCTGAGCGACAGCCCCGAGTCCAGGCCCGCAGCCTTCCGCGATCTGTCGCCGGGCACTGCGATCCAGACACACCAGCATCGCGCGCATCCTGACGCGGCGCTGGCGACGGGGTTGGCCACGCTCCTGCGCTCGCCGCCAGCCCTGCCTCCCGGGCAAGAGTGCCCGGGGCCGGGCACAGGTGCTGTCTAAACCGGGCCCGGGGCTAACCAGAGGACAATCCCGACCAGCCCCATAAAAAGCCACATCCCACCCCTAGGCGCCCATGTGCGGGAAGGGTACTCTTCCCCTCGCTCTCCTCTCCGCCGCCCTCCACTGGGTTCAAACATCGCCGTCGGGGCGCCCGCGGTCCACGCCGAAGGCAGGGCGGGTCCACGCGGTCCCGAGGCTGCTATAGCCACCCCCAAAACCCCGAGGCCGCTTTAAAGTGGTGGTGTGAGATGCTCCGAAATCTGGGGACCTAGATGTTCGCGCAGGAACCAGAACCTCAATGGCTCCAGGGAACCCCAAAAGGGTGGGAAGAAGCCTTGGCTCCGAGGAGCACCCCACCACCGCAGTCCGGAGGGAGGGCCCCCAACGGAAACGCCCGTGGCCCCGCCCCCACGTGTCCGCCTCCCCGGGCTTCCCGTGCCACTTCCCGCCGTCCCCTCCCCGCGCTTCCTCGCCCCGGCCCTTGGCGACCCTCCCTGGGTTTCCTTTGTCCCCTCCCCACCCTTGCCTCG